CCTCTCCCGTTGCGGAGCACAGGCTCCGAACGCGCAGGCTCAGCGGCCATGGCTCACGGGCCCAGCCGCTCTGTGGCATGTCGGATCTTCCCGGACTGGAGCACGAACCCGTGTCCCCTGCATTGGCAGGCGGACTCTCAACCACTGCGCCACCAGGGAAGCCCGGAATTCAGTATTTTTATCAGCTAGGTTTCTACTACATACATTGTCATGGTGTTCAGCTTTTCTTCCCACATTTGTACACATGAAAAGTTTTCACCAATAAACCTCAACAAGTAGATAATGGTTTTCTGAGAAGAAATGTTATTTGCATTCAAAAGTTTGAGCCCAGTACATACATTTAGGAATTACAGGTATAGATGAAGCATCACTTTTAAACTGTAGACAATTAGAAAAATAAACAATTAAAACAGATAAGCATTGCTGAATTACCTGCAGTTAACCTAAAAAAAAAAAGAAAAAACTTTTTGAACAACCCTGAAAGACACAAGTAGAAACATTAGAAAGGTAAGTACCTTATTTCTTGACCTTATTATCTGCTTAATGACTACTCGGTCTGCCAGCAATAACACTTTTGTCACTGAAGAAAGAAGTAATCTTGCAGCTTTTATAACTCCTGTTTTATCTGTAAAAATTGTGATCTGGCCATCAGATTCTGGACGATTCAAGCTGCTCATATCTGTAAGCGCTGCAATTGTTTCTCCTAAGAAGAAAGGCAAAGGGTGGGGGGGGTGGGGGTTAAACTGGGAATAAGTCACACAAATTAAAATCCAGACTTTAATCTTTAAGGTAATGTGCTCAATGGGTAGAAACTCAACTTTGGAGTCTTATTTCAGGAATAAGAAATAGCTTCTTCTTGATGAACCCAAGGATTATCATATAAGGTTCTCTAATGGCAAAATAATGGTACATTCCTAAGAATTGTGACAAACTGTTACATTCATCGAGTTTGAAAAATATTATAACTTTTGTTTCCAGTGGTATGGCAAACTACATGATCCCAAAAGCCTCCTGCTCTATAAGGCCAAGAAAGAGAGATCCCAGGAACCAATAACCAAAGAAGAACCTAAAAGCAGAGAAGTAAGCAGCTGCCCAGGCTTTGGCTAGGGCTGAGGGGATAGAGGGAGCATCAAGGGGGCAGGGGTGGGGGTGGGTATCACCACCCATCTCCACAACCTGAAGGGGTTTGGGTTTTTATGGATACGCAGGGAGAGAAGACAAGACTTTGGGCCCCAGCAGGAGACATCCTCAGTGAAAAGTGGGCCTAGAAAAACCATCCCTCGGGCTTCCCTGGTGGCACAGTGGTTGAGAGTCCGTCTGCTGATGTAGGAGACACGGGTTCGTGTCCCGGTCCGGGAAGATCCCACATGCCGCAGAGCGGCTGGGCCCGTGAGCCATGGTCGCTGGGCCTGCGCATCCGGAGCCTGTGCTCCGCAACGGG